AAGGTAAAAGAGCAGAGAGGAAAAATACAAAGTGTGCCAGTCTGTCCGAGCCAGGACTCCTTGGTGAGAGGGAGAGCGAGGGCAAAGCAATGGCAGGAGGGTGTAGAGTCACAGCGAAGGCTCAGGGAACAGCCTCCGACACAGCAGCCGTATCTGCTGTAAACATGTCCCACAGCAGAGCTGACGAGCTCAGAACTGCAGCTTCCTTGGCCCAGCTGCATAAGCTAGAATTTTTATTTTCCTAATTAAAAAAAAAAAGTTTCTTGAACATCCGCTCCCTATGTAAATTCCAAGCTCAGGCCCTGGTGAGCCACAGAGGCAGTGTTTATCTTTTGCAGGCTCTTTGGCAGCTGCTCTCGTCCTGTCATCCACTGTCAACAAGGACGTGGCCCCAAACCACAGAAGACAGTGGTAATAAAGGGTGAACGGGAGGCCGAAATGTGTTGTGGTTTTGTTTGGAAACTGAGAGACTGAAGAGAGTCAGGAGTGCAGGAAACTATAAACTTCACACCAGACAGCCCGGGGTGGGCCAGAAACTGCCCGGCAGTGTGCATCACAAGGGAAGATGGTGCAGAAGGCTCTGGGGGGATGGCGGGGGGCAGGGAGGAGGCCTGTGCGGATGGAGAACAGGTGCTGCCCACTCGGCCTCCATGCTGGGCGGGCGCGAGGAGCCGCAGGAGCAAGGAACAACTTGGCTTTGCTCTCTGAGGACAGTGACAGAACCACCCCAGCGAAAGCGCCTGGGCTGGGATGGAGACACAGTGCAGGCTTGGAGCGAATCCAGGGCCAAGCCCGCTGCAACTCACATGACATCACCCTTTTCTAATTCAATGATAGGAATGGGACCTTTTGACCTGGGAAAGGTCCCTAGGGACAAAAGGAGCTAGCAGTTCCCAAATTTTGCTGAGCCCTACCCCTCTAAGTAACCTGGGGTGCTTGTCGAAATGCAGGTGACTGAAATTGAGCAGGACAAAACAGAAGTAGAATAGAGGTTACCAGAGTCTAGGGGAGAAGAGAAAGGGAATGACACTTGCGGGGTGCAGTTTGGGGATAACGAAAAGCGTCTGGGGATGGACTGAGGAAGGCGCATACTTAATGCCATGAACCGGAGAAGTGAAAGTTCAGCTTAAAATGATCAGCTTCGTGTTACAACTGTCTCACCACAATAAAAACAATCTCTCTGGCTGAGTCCCCGCAAACAAGCTGTCAGTCCCCAATCTCAGACTGTCTGTCCCAAAACAGTGTAAAAGGCACCCTAGGTGTTGTGACGTAAGTAATTTGAGCAATGCAGTTTAAACAATATACTTTTGTCCTATATATAAAAAAAAAGCCTCCTTTCCTTTGAGCAATAGGAACTGGCTGCGACATGACCTCTGTCACTGACCAGAGGTGAAGATGAGGCAGCGCCGCTGGTGGCACACACAAGTGGGGCCTGAGGTGACAATGCTAGGTACTGAGTAATGGCTGCGTGAGTGTCATTACATGCTGTTTTCTCCTCTTTTCTATAGATTTTTTCATTTTTTAATAAAAAAGATTTTTTAAAAAGTCAGTGGGTGTGGTGGTGGCAGTGGGAGGCGCACTTCTAACCAGAAGGAGGAGAGGGACAAAGGCAAGAGAGATGAGAACCGCCCACATGTCCAAAGCAGGAGCCCCGCACAGACCAAGGCCAGCACCCAAGGGGCAGCCAGGGCGGGGATGGCTGAGGCCTTGTGGTGTCTTTTTGCCTTTTGGACAAACACGAATCTTTGGGTCATGTGGAAACATTTGAACACTCAAAATGTCACAAAGACGAATAAGATCTGTGCTTTTGCCAGTGATTCTGGCTCATGAGTAGAAGTGGGTTTAATAGGAGAAGGTGAGAAGCAAATCAGAGAGCTGTGTAGGTGTTGAATGTTGCACAGGTGTCTGAGTGTCCTGCAGGTGTCTGAGTGCCCTGCAGGTGCCTGGATGCTACACAGGTGTCTGGGTGTCCTATAGGTGCCTGGATGCTGCACAGGCGTCTGGGTGTCCTGCAAGTGTCTGCGTGCCCTGCAGGTGTCTGGGTGTCCTGCAGGTGTCTGCATGCCCTGCAGGTGTCTGGGTATCCTGCAGGTGTCTGGGTGCTGTGTAGGTCTCTGGATTCTGCACAGGTATCTAGGTGACCTGCAGGTATCTGAGTGCCATGCAGGTATCCGGGTGCTGTGCAAGTGTTGGGGTGCCCTGCAGGAATCTGAGTCCCCTGCAGGTACCTGGATGCTATACAGGTATCTGGGTACCCTGGAGGTGTCTGGGTTCCTTGCAGGTGTTGGAGTGCCCTGCAGGTGTCTGGGTATCCTGAAGGTGTCTGGGTGCCCTGCAGGTATCTGGGTGTCCTGCAGGCGTCTGGGTGCTGTGCAGGTACCTGGATGCTGCACAAGTGTCTAGGTGTCCTACAGGTGTCTGAGTGCCCTGCAGGTGTCTGGGTGTCCTGCAGGTATCTGGGTGCTGCACAGGTGTCTGGGTGCCCTACAGGTGTTTGGATGCCCTGTAAGAATCTGGGTGCCCTGCAGG